TAAAAAATTAAAAGTTTATTAATTTTAGAATGATTTAATCCAAAATGCAATTATTTAATAAATTTCTTTTCGGAAACTTTTAGCAATAAAATTTAATCAATCAGATCATCCAATCGCCGATTCATTCGTTATGGAGCTAATGTTGAATTTTTATAAAGAGTTTTGTTTTATGTGGATGACCGTTTTTCTTTCTTAGATGGCATTTCTCCTACAGAAATCTATTGTCTCGACACCACTTCATAATACTGTCGTAGCATTGGTAGGCGTGGTATCGTGTTGCGCCGGTCTTGCAACGAAGCCAAGTGACGAACTTTTCTTCGTTGCCCTTCAACTTCAGAAATCTCTTGACGATTCGATATACGAATTGGTAGCCTCCGTCTCTGAACCGTCTTCCATACACGAGTCCAATGCCAGGCAACCTGTAAGCGCGATTGGAACCTAACGGACATCCGAGGAACGTCTTTCTTTTTTTGGTGTTTCTGATGGCCACCGGGTACCCATTTTTTCTTGTTTTCTTGTTTTTAACTCTCGGTTTGGCCATTTCCTGGAAAGACGAACCAACAAAGATGTTTGTTTTTCTAACAATGTAATCGAAAAAATGGTTTATCAAATAATACGTCTATTGTTATTTTTTTAACAATACCGTATTCATTTGTATTTTAACAATAATTATAAATGTACAAAAAATAGGTATTATGAATATTCGAAATTATTCACTATTAACTAAGTGAATAAATTCGAATATTCTATACAGAAAAGGAATTGGCAAACAAAACAAAATACAGATGGTAATAGCACCCGCTGTTCTCAACTCATCGCTACTATCTGAACCCGACGCATCTTCTTTTCTTAAAATGAACTATACATTGCTATATACATTGTATAAAATTGTGGTAATACATTGATTGATTACATTCAAAAGAATTGACCTGGCAATTATTTTTATGAAGATGACTTTTACATAAATCCAGTATTCGTGTGGTATTTAACATCTTACATGAATTTTTCATCATGCTTGTAGCGGTTGCTGCAGCTTACATTTCTTGTATATGTGCATAGTCTTCAAGATGCATTGTTTACAGCAGGTTCGAATTTTGTAAGGGTTAAATCTCGCTTTATGTTAACCGTATCTGAGGTCAGAATTCGTTTGTATACCGTATTTTTATCTTGTGTTGGATATATTTTATTTTCGAATCTGGCTTCGTTATCACGACAACTAGATGCCGTATCTCTTCTCGGATAAGAGCGATTGGAACGGTGTGCACCAGCTGGTTGCCTCCATATAGGATACCGTTTTAACGTCTGCTGTGTTTTTTTCCTCTTCTTTGATAATCCTGCGGTGTTATTCCAGGTGTGTTCTATATTTTTGCATTTGCAAAAAGATGTTCTGACGTTTCTGTCTGATTTACAGGGAGATTGAGATGAGTTAAAATCGTGTTGCCACGATGTTATATTATGCTTTTACTCAAATGGCTGGAGATTAAAGTGAAAACCTACCACTCCGGAGATCAGGAACCGAATCCAGACGGGTAGAAAACCCAGGAATTTTTCATATGTCGAATCTCTTTTCTCACCACCCTGCAGTCTTATAGTAGTTACTTGAAAAGTCTCTCTTAGCAGTGCCGGCCCGAGGCAAGTTTTAGGATGGAGCGAGAACCTATTGTGGCGCCCGCTTTGGTTGCCCCTAATTTATACTCTTTAATTTTCTTTACCACTGAGGCGCCCCTAGGACTTAGCGCCTGGAGCGGCTGCTCCGTTCGCCCTATGGTAGGGCCGGCTCTGAATTTATGTATTAGTTATAACGCTTTTCAATGGCTTTTTTCGCGAGAATTAAATTGTCTGGAGCTTTGTAGAACTTCAAACACTTTCCTGCACATCGAATACTCTTAACAATTATCTGCACAAGCTAGGATTTTTTTTTCTTACGTATCGGTACAAAGGCACACTTTCAAACCGTTGATGAGTGACGTTGCGTGTGTTGATTCGAAAGTAAAGGTAGCGTGTGGCAAAAAGTAACGAGACTGTTGTTGAAGAGGTGCTGTAGTGATAAATTCAACGAAGAAGTTGAAGGTCAAAGATTAACGAACAATTATTTATTGTGACATGGTCACAATGCCAGGCTGCAATTTTAATGATATTTTAAATTATTTTACAATTTAAAATATCCTATATAAAATATGCTCTCCACCTGAAATTACTAGTGGCTTGCCCCCGTACGTCCATTATTTGTGGCGCTTCGGTCGCTTTCCAATATTAAAGTCTATAAAAACGCGCTTAGAAGCATGGCGGTAATTGGCTGCAGATGCCACGTGACTTTGACGTCATTACCTCTGGTTTTTGCTTCTAGCGAAACTTACAACAGCGCCATCTTTACTCTCGCAAAGTATAATAATTGTTTTAAATTCATTTTTCGAATGCATATTTTTTCACTTTTCTTCAGTGTATTATTAAAACGGAACATTCTGATTACATAAAAATATACGTATTACTATCAAATATTTATATAATTAATTTTTCGGAAACTTATCTCCGTTAATTTGGCGGAAACTTATATTCGTTTGGACGTCATTCGGTATTACGGCAGATAAGGAAGGTCAAGCCGTCGGCGTTTATCGAAAAAGTACGGGAAGATGGGATTTGGCGATTATCCTCCGGAATATAACCCGAAAGTGCACGGTCCTTACGATCCTGCGCGTTATTATGGCAAACGTAGGTATCTCGTTGATATATATTTAATTATAAATTGTTTATTGTGAAAATGAAATTGCCCGTAACTTGATTTATGCACCATAATGGTAAAATTACAGTTCCGAATGAGGGGTTTTGGACCCCCAACTGCCTCATTAAGAGCTACGTTTTTACCCTTAATGTTTCCTTTTCATTTATATGATGATAATTATCCAAAGTACATAAAAAAATTAATTATTCTGAAAATGTAAACGAGATTTAACTGCAGAAAATGAATTTCCTTGAAAAATATTTTAAATTATATCTTCTTATCATATACATTCCACATTTAGGTACAGTTACGCATCCGAATGGGACCTTGTCGGAGCTGCAGATCGTACCCGTGGGAGCAAAAAAGTCTAAGGAACCGTACCTCTACGTGTGATCCTTGGCGAGATAGCCCCCAAAATCTGCCTACTTCTGTGATGCACGCAATCGCGTCACTCTGCTAATACTATCGTGTTTACCTATTTTGACTAGCCCACCTGACCGTTTGAAGAATACTTGACGTTATATAGTTTTAGGGAGTGTAGTGTCTCCTCCCCGTTCAGTAGCTTTGGTTCATTCAATACTGAAACCAGACCAGAGTACGTGACTACGTTCTCTGCATCGGTCGAGGTGAGTGATAGCAAGCCTTGACTGATGGAGAATAGGCAGTATACTGGTTCGTGGTAAAAATTTACCTTTGGAGGCAAATATCTTGCCAGGAGTTGCATGTATAGGTATGGTTTCATTGATGTTTTTTGCTTGAACAGGGACATCTACACATCTGTGGTTGCAAATCCCTGTTGCAGAATCTTACATCTTACTATTTTAATTGCAAATTTAAATTGCAAAATGCAAAATAAATTTAAAAAGAAACTAAAGATAAAGAACTGCTAAAATAATTTTTAATAATGTGCAGGAATTTTATATTTTGAATGACAGTGTTGATGTGAAAGATTATGTGTCGGTACCACACTTTGTTTTTATTCCCAAGATCATCTGCACGCTTGTGGGAAGGAGGCTGTGTCAATTCCAAAATGAGGTGGAGGCAAAGAAAATTCGGCACCCGCTAAGATACCAAACACTTCACAAACGTGTGGTGCAAATCCTAAAAGACTTGGAGTAGCTCTGTATTATAGTTGCCATCTGTATAGCTGCATATTATCTGAACTTTTCTAGGAAACCAAAGAATATGCGAAATGCATACGTTTAATAATGTATTTATCAGGAATTTTAAAAAAATATATCAAGTTGCAATGTGATGGTTTTTAGCCCATATCAATCTTGCCTTTTTCATTTTCTGTATTAGTAATGGTTTCTTCTTGATCTTACGTGCAAAAATTCCTTCTTATGGACAACTCCTGTTGATGCTTTTCACTCCATCAATTTCTGAGACATAGCAAAGTGATTTTACGAGGGTAATCCCAAAAGTAAGGTCTCCTATTTTTTAAAAAATACAAAGAAATGTTTATTTTCAATAATGTTTACATCATTCTAAAGCTTGAACATTTATCTATTATTCTACTAGAGTTTCTCAAACGAGATACTGGGATCCTGGTTGTTTTTTAACCCGGGAAATTCTTCTCATTCCGAGAAATCCCACAAATTTCTTAAAGAGTTCACTTTTTTCTTATTTCGTGTTAAGGTTGAGGAAATTTTGCAAATAGAAAGTATAATTTACTCATAAACTGTCAGAATACATTTGTATTTTTTAATTTTAAACCTACTTATTAGTTTTTTACATTTTTGCTTGTTATGCATCTCGCAGATTGTCAATAATCAATATGTAGCTTGTTTGTGGCAGGACTCTGAAAATTCTTTACTTGTCAGAACCTGTAATATCTGGAATAATTTTGCTTACACTGTCTTAATTTTTAACCTTGCCCGGTAGCTTCAATAACTGCATAACGCCAAGTTGTGCAAATTGGGCAAGGATACAAACGAGCACGAAGTCTGCAAGTATGAAGTTTTTCTTCATAAACCTGATTATTAAAGACACACGAACTGCCAAATTATTGGGCTATAAGCTTGATGTTTTTATTAAAGCAGCCGAGGTAGAGAAATCAAGAATACAGAGAGCAAAAAAAGTACTACAATCTTGAAAATGAACTCGAAATTTTCCAGGCTGTAGGAGAAAAAACACATAACATCTGTCTTCTCTTAAATGCATTAAACAGGATTCCACTTGCATCAATTGAATCGGAAGGGCAGGTACTTTCATTACTAAAATAAGAATCAGTTTGAGTATTGAGTGATCGGAGTATTGATCATCATTTCATTGCTTTTTAAAATCTTATTATAAAAATTTACAATAATATTTTGTATTATGTTTTATGTAGAAAACAAAAGTTTCCTTTTAAGTTAGAAGTTTGATCTAAGTTCAGTTTTTTTAAATTTTCAACTCAATTCAAAGCTTTTTTTTTTTTAGTAGTTGTTGTTGTTGTGTGCAGTTTCCAGCAAACTTTAATAAATATTTTCTATTTGTGAAAATTTCTATGTAATTCAAAGATAATTTTTAATGTACAGTAATACCTTGACTTACGCTACCCCGACTTACGCAAACCCGGAGTTATGCGATTTTCAAATCTCGTTGATTCATCTTTTGTTTGAGCGCCACGCAACTCTTGATTACTTGCTCCCCCCACACTATTGTTCAGCTTACATGTTTGGACATGTCATGCGGAATCGACACATAGCTACAATTTATTTTGTGTTATTTATTTCTGTGTTTGTTATATCTACGGAGACTTGAGAGACTCTATGTGGTGATTTCTTGCAACCGTGAACGAATCAAAAGACAAGATAAGATTAACGAGAACATTTATTAGCTTACATGCATCCGACTTGGATTTTACACAAATTGCGAAATTATATCCCGACTTACGTGGTTATCGCTCAGTCCCACCTATCGCGTAAGTTCGGGTATTACTGTATATCTTATACAGCATTATTAATATGATTTTGAAGGTTGCAGAATGTATTAAATTACTTTAAAAAATGAGAAATAATTATATCATTTGATTTCAAGATATTTTGTATATCTTAAAAATAATTAATTCTATACCGGGATCCCGGGAAACAGTTCACTTTTTTCCCGAAATCTCAGGACAAGCAAAAGACTGAGAAATGAGAAACCCTATTTTCTACATAATCGCTATTTCAGTCAATGCATTTTTGTAGGCGCTATGGCAGTTTTTGTATGCCCATGTCATACCAGCTCACTGCCGTGTCATAGGACCCATCTTGCGCATACCTTCCAATATTGCAACTTTTTCATTAAAATCCTATGAATGGTGCTTCGGTAAACCCCAGGAACCAAAATGCAGAGATCATCTAGAGTTATCCGCCAATTTTCATGCCTGATTTGCTCAACTTTTGTGACTGTCTCGTCGGAAATTGATGGTCTGCCGCTTCTTACTTTGTCATGAATTTCAATAGGGCCAGCTGCAAACTTCCTATGTGCTTTTGACATCCATACACAACTTGCCATACACTTTCATCAATTGGTGAATTTCAATTGGTTTAACATGACATGGCGGCAAGCTGGTATGACCTGGGCATACAAAAACTGCCATAGCACCTACAAAAATGCATCGACCAAAATGCCAGTTTTGTAAAAATATAGATAAACTTTCAAGCTTTAAAATGATGTAAACATTATTGAAAATTAACGTTTCTTTGTATTTCTAAAAAATAGGAGACCTTACTTTTGGGATTACTTTCGTATTTCAGTTCAAGGCAATGCATATCCATACAAAGGATAAAAATTCTCTGCCATTGGCAAAGAATTTTATCCCTTGCAAGGATATGCATTGCCTCCCATTACAGCAGTGGTTTGAAAACTTGTGTTCCACAAACATCTTGAGGGTTCCATAAAAATAGATTTTAAAGTTTTTATTGCAAAGTTATTCCAATGTACATCAGAATATTACTTTATTCATAGACAATTTCATGTTTCTATTTTATTCAATACTAAATTTTGTTGTCAAAGGTATTCCAGAATAAGTGATTAGAATAAATGGTGGTTTTCAAAAAATTATTTTTGGACAGACTATATCTTTTTTGATTAACTTAAAATTATCATCCGGCGAAATTCTACAAAAAAAAATAACAATAAAGTTCTACTTTATTGCTTCATTGTTTTATGAGAATAGTAAACATGGAATGCTTATTGATTTCTGAATGTATTGTACTAATGCTCCACATAATGAAAAGTATATAAATAGTGTTCTGTGTTCTCAGAAATGTGGAAAACCACTGCATTACAGGGTAAGTTATTCATGTTTTTAAACATCTTAAGCTTTGCAATGTTGAAACTAACAACAAAACAAGCAGTTCAAGTCTCTGAGCAAATTTGTGTCATATTCAGATCTTCTTTATGTATAATTTTGATGCATTTCTTCTTTCTAGATGTCAGTTTGCACATCTTAATCATACTATACAGTTAAATTTGATTTACACTGGGCGTGAAAATGAAGAGAGCAAATAAAGCAAATTTCATTCACACTGCAAGCAGTGGTAAGCATGATGGTGAGTTGTAGTTTTGCAGTTTATTGATGGCATTTTAAAAAATTTGATATATACTATATTGCAGTTACCATTTTACACACTTCTTGTTTACTGTGCTGTGTAGGCTTATCAAATTAAATTATATACCAGTATTATTTTCAATATGGACCTTATCTTTCCAGCTGTGAGTTGAGAACTCTAGTAGAGATGAAAACATTGCTTTCATTGGCTTGTGCTTGCCAATGTGTCCCAGCTATTGCATAATCCCATTGGCTAACTTGAAAATTTTTAACTCTCTTTATGAGGTTACATACACTCATGTTTCTTTTTTATCTCTCTTTGCTTTGTTTCGTTTCGCATCCTTCATGCCCAGTGTAAATTGCGCTTTAATATAGATACTTTGAACAGTACATAACTCTTTATAAAAGTCAAAATATGTGTACATCTTTGTAGTTTATATACTTGTTATGGAAGTTCCCCAAACAAAATTTAACTTAGTTTTTCTGTAATCATATTTTAAAAATTATTGTGCTTTTGGTTACATATCTATCCTAAGTAGTCAACTATACTCAAGGATAGCTGTGTAACACACTGTTGTATCAGTTAGAAAATGTTTTTATATTTATAATTGATAGCAATATTTAATTTTATCAAGTTTTGTTAATTATTCATTTATGTTTAATTTCAAAACTGAACTTGGGCAAAAATGTACATCAAAACTTATAGATTTATAATATAATTTTGAAAATACCTTATGGATTTCTGTTATATGTTAATACCTGAAGATAGCCCATTAACCAGGTCAAAAACATCAGCATTTCTTCAAACTTGTGCACTGTTAAAGGTGTATTGGTTACTTCATTAACTACATTGGTTAATTCAACTTTCCAGATATATATTCATAGTTTCAGCAACTATTTACTTGGTTTGTAATTAACTTACAATTAGTAATATTATTTGATGGAATGTTATACAGTCAAACTTTCAATAGCCACCATCTGTAAACAGTGGCCATTTTTCGGAATGTTTTTTTTAAAGGCATTAAAAAAAAATTATCATTGTTTGGAGATTATTTTGTATCTTTCCATCAGTGGCTGTTCCCACTGTTCAGAGGTTTTGACTGTGTAATAATTTATTTTTAATTTCAAATTTCAATGACTAATCATAATAAATCACATAAACTATTGGCTATTTCATTACATGATTCTTAAATGTTTTAAATTAAGATTCACTAGTAATCAGATGTGTACTATATTATTTATGGTTTTATTTTTAGCCGACATACCATTTGGAGAAGTGAAGTTGAACGAAATGGGATCATGGATTTCACGTCGAAATAAATCTCCTCCTGCAATAATGGGACTTTTCAGTCGTGGTATGTTCAATCGACTCAAGTAATATTGTTTAGTTGTTTTGAATTATATCTAAATTTTCTTCATTACACTTAATATTAAGCACTTTAGTAAGTGTATTTAAATCTTGTGTTTAAACTTTATCTTTCAATAGTCTTGATTATCTGATCAAAATGAGACCAATAGGTGAGATAATTTATAGATTTAGATTATAGTGTTATATAGCGATATAGATTTCTAGTAGCAGATTTATAGAAATGGTTGATAATACATGAATGGTGATGAGAGGGTAAATGATTTTATTGCACCAATATGTATGCCAATAGAGAATAAAAGGATAATTCTTCAGAGATGAAATAAAGAAGTAAATATATGTAAACTATAGATAGATGTGTGGAGTTTTCCGGGTTTCCTCCACACAAGATAATCTAAATGGGGCCAGTTTCCCCAAAAAAGACTCCCAGAAGGCAAGACTATTATGCTGTAGTCAGTTTCCCTTTACCAAAATGCTGTTATTTCAAATTACTGAAGTTGTTGTGGTTTCTCCACTGTTGCAGAAATCCTTCTGTGACCCTGGAGACATCGGAAAATCACAATAATAAATACAAAAAACATTGATTTTAGTCAGTCCTCACACGTAAACTTACTTCACTAAATTTCACATACTAATAAATTAATTTCATTTTGTTTCACTGAAATTTCACTTGACTAATAACTCTACAACTTTGTAATGGAAATATATGGTCAAAGTACTAAGTTATTTTTATGCCTTTTACTACAATTAGCGACATGACTTTGTGCCGGAAATAGCCAGTTCTTGACAGGTACTTTACGCGGATTCACATAAATGTGCCAGGCCTGGACTTTAAGCGTGCACCGAATTAAATAATGACAAAGTTAGTCAAAATGAAATTCAATATTTAATAATTCTAATAACGACTATGTACAAAAATTAGTAACAAATTTATTCAAAGAAAAAAAAAATCAATAAGAATCAACCCGACAAAACTCAAATCAATCTATTTGCTAACTTAAATCTATTCCTCTTTGGAACTCGACAAAAAATTCAAAGACTTAACTTATGTACAACAATTCTTATGAACTAAGGTCCTAATTGTCACCTCAATATACTAGGAACATTTTTCTTCAACTCTCAAGACTTTCTAATCTTTGATCCCCAAATCAAATAACTTCAAATTGCCTTAGAACCACTTTATCGCTGTCAGATACCTCTTGTCGTTTGCTGCTATGAAGCTCACCTTGGTCATTTTCACTTGAGGTTCAGACTTTATACTGTGAGGTGACGTCACAATTCTGAGTGAGACCACTCCCCTCATTTACATACTTATCGCTAACAGTCGACTTTTCATTTCTGCCTGGCAGCCTATTTCCCGACAATACTCGCTAACCTTTTACATTATTCTTTTTTTTTTTTTACAATTTTTCATGATGTTTTATTCTTTAAGGTTTAGCAAGTTCCTAAGTTGTGCTTGTGGGGTATCCCCCCTCTTTCTCGCTGCGGACTTACTTTTTTCCGCTCGGGAGCACGAGTTTTTTCTATGGCGCTTTTTCTTGTCAGTGAGTTGGTTCTCTTTCTTCTATTTTTAAGTTTCTAAGGTGATTGGTGAGGAAACCTTCGTCCTAACAAAACATAAGCCCCAAACAAAAATAGAATAAAAAGCAAAATAAAAAATAACTAAAAATAACGCTTGGTCTTGATTCCTTACACACGTACTAATAAATTTATTTCACTTTGTTTCACTGAAATTTCACTTTACTAATAACTCTGACCATATATTTCCACTACATACAACACAGTTAAAGTACACATTAATGACACCAGATACTAAACAACTGCAAAATCACACTTAACAGATTGATCACATACAAAACACTTAACTATTATGTCCTAACATATAGCATGTGTAGCAAGACTTAAATAAGCATTGTTAATATAGAACATAAACATACATTGACATGCGTACATTATATAAACATACATACTTAGTACTCTTAGAACGAATGAGGCCTATGGATCACTCAGAACTGAACTCCACAAATAAAAAAAGTCTTTAGATAAGATTTAGCTGTTGTGTGTTAGAGAGCAACAGGGAAAAAAATCTTTATCTTTGCAGTTTATATCACTATTTGTTTTTCCCTCTCCTTGTAGTATAAATTGAAAATTCATTAAGTCCTGTTCAAGAATGAAATTGGATTTATTAGTAATTTTTTAACTCTTCAGTTTACCTTTGCAACAACTTTTTCATCAACCGTCTCTCATTTATTAATGATGATTCAATTGAATGAATAAGATTTAACAAGAGAAAATGGTATTTTGTTTAGACATTGTAACATTTTCCTAATACAAAAAAAAATAGATCTTTACATCAAAGTTTTTAAAAAGTCAGGAGTTGCAAAGCCTTTTGTAATCTAATGACAGACGTTAAACTTTCATGAAAACATTCTTGTTACTATTTTCTAGTCAGTCATTTTATTCTCAAGCATATATTGTAAGTTTAAGAATTCTCTATTCCAAAACAATATTACATATGGAGTAATAGTATGCGATTCAAATAAGATGGTAACAATATGTGTACTTAAGATGGTACTTAAAATGTGAAAGTTTATTTCTTCCACAGCATAGAACAGCAATTAATCTCCTTCAAAACATGGCTTATTGTTTATTTCATAATTGACCAGTGTGTCAAACTTCATATGGATTCAAAAATGATTCGGCAATGCCATCAGACCCAAAGTTATTTGCAGAAGTAAATACCACTATAACAAAGATATAATCTGTTTGCTTTTACATTTATCTAAATATATAAAATTACTTGGACTGACTGACTGACTCATCATCGCCCAAAGCAAACCGCTGAACCTAGAGGTGAAATTTGGTACACAATTAGGGTACGTCGTGAAAACACACACTAAGAAGGGATTTTTCGAAATTCCCCCGTGGGGGAGAGGGAAAGGATTAAGGCTTAACCTGAAGAATGGTTTCTACTGTACTATTTCAGATGTGATTTTTTGTTTTCAACTATGTTTAGTCTTCATTGAGTACTTAGGTGGATTAAATTGATAACATTTCAGACATTGTTATAAATATTTTTATATATTTCAATTTTTTAACCAAATGTTCGAGCCATTTTAAATTCAAATTTGTTATTGCTTATTGGTTTGATTATAGAACGATTATAAACGTTTCAGAAAATTGATCAAATTGAAAACAGTTTGTTTGATTCTTAGCAATTCTCATCATTCTCAGTTATAGGTGTTATATAACAATTACCATGGTTGTTGAAATAACGAATATAAATGGTGTTTGCTTGCAAAGTCCGCATTGCAAAGTTGCGGGTAACAGCTAGTTTATTAATATTCGTGCTAAAATTTTCTTTAATCTGTTTGAAGGAATGTATTTAAAAAACTATATTAAACACAGTTTTCATGTTGTACCTGTATAGTGTTTTGTAGCAGTTATATTAGCATCAATATTAGAATGCTGCAAAGTGATGTACATTCAGAAAGAGCAGCTATGTGCTCAAATGTTGTATCAAAAGTAATGGTCAATACAGTAGAGCCTTGAAAACTCGGCACTCTGGATAACTCGGCCATACCCTGGCAGGGCAAAAAACTCCTTAGTTAATTAATTTTCATTATAGACAGCTTTATAAAAGTATAAAAGCTCTCATTAAGTATTTTTCTGAGGCCTGTCTTATCAAGTAAATTACTGTACACAGTGTATTCATTAATTTTCATTTTCACGTAGTAAAGGCTCTATGCCTTCATAAAGGACGTACTTTTCCTTTGTTTAAGGGTATTTAGGCAGTTTATTCTCTGTTGTATTCTCAAGCAAACAATACATACAAGTACCATACAATATTTTCTGAGGAATCACGCATACTTATCCTTTTTTAACCCTATTCCCAATAACCCGGCATTTTCACAAACTCGGCCACCCTTCGGTCCACATTAGGCCGAGTTTTCAAGGCTCTACTGTATTACATTATGAAGAAACCATTGACAACTGTCATTTCACTCTGCAGTGTAAAATGACGTTTCCACACGATTGATGCAAATGATACGTGGTATAAGAAAATGGCAGGCAGTGTCATGTCACTTTGACAGTGTACAGCGAGAAAACTTCTACGATTAATATTCATTAAAAATGTTTTGCACTTCAAAGAAATATTTTAAATTTGTTAAAAGGTGTATATTAATGTACAGGGTGCATAGTAAAATATACCCATGTAACTGACAACATAGACAGCTAAAGTTATGAATGTGATGTATAGTTACAATAAAGTGACACTACACTATAAGATGAGATCACATGCAGCACCCCTAGCAGTAAAATTTGTGAGTTAGTGTTCTTACCTCAAAAACAATGCATGTTACAGGAAAAAAACAATTACAAAGTTGTAGAGCTTGACTGATTTAGTATGAAAGGACGGACACCTTGTATACACGAATAGCATTTCATGCTAATTTGTCAGCATTCAATTCTTGTCAATACTACTTCACTAATTGCATCATGAAACATGGGAAGTGAAACCACATACAAGATCCTGAGCTGAGAGAGAGGAATTTTAGACCGGTACAATAAAATCACATTCTGAAGTTCACATCCACTGGCATAAACTAGATCAGTGTGATCCAACCGAAATTGTTTACTGGGCCAAAAATAAAAATACACTGTGGGCTGCACATGTTTATTTACAACAAAACATACCTACAAAATACTGTATAATTGTGTATTCTAATGTGAAACTTGCTTTTCAGTCTTTTCACTTAATTTTTTAATATCAACGGATATTTTTAATGTTGTACAACATAGTTGATTTTTTTAAGTTTTTATTGGTCAATCTATTACAACTTACATTTAACAATCTTCAATTTTGAGAAGAAAGATTCACAAAGATAGATGATTTGAAATTTTAAATCTATATGCACCTGTAAATGTGTAATTCTAATTTAAATTTTATTAGGCTTATTTCCAAAGAATTTAAAGAAAACAATAAAATCTATTTCGTTTATTTAAAACACAGAAGACCATTGTAACTTAAGAATGTGTGTATTGTTTGGCATTTATTTTGCATATAGGGCAAATTTAAGGAAATTTAATTTTGTTATACCAAAACATACTGATTAAATACATGTACTGTACATAGCTTCAAATGTATTGTATATACAGTGGGTGATCGGTTAACGAACATAATCCGTTCCAAGACTTTGTTTGCTATCCGAATTGTTCGTTAACCGATTATCAATTTACCATAGGTTTTAATGGGAATTTAATTAATTCGTTCTGGAGACCCCCAAAAAAATATACACTTTCTTACTACATTTATTTTTATTTGTAGTAATAAAAATACATACGTACAGTCTTGCATTTTTATTAGTCATATTTTTTTCATTTGAAAGGGTTAAAGAATCTGTCTAATGCCGATTGCTTTTCTCTCTTCTTCGGGATTTTTAGTAAGTAATTAATAGCATTGCAATTGTAGAAATCTCCAAGCCTCAACCTGGTTTGGATGCCATTCTAAGACCGTTGTTCTGACATCCTCCCACTTCTTCAAAAGATTTTTAATTAATAGCAGATATCGGCATTAATCCTCTTTTTTTCAGAAGAAAACATATCTTGCCGAGTTTCTTGGTGTTCTTCTGTCATCAGATCCGTTTCAGGTTCCATTATGAACTCTTCGATGTTCTTTATTTCTCAGATGTGATTTTTGTTACTCTTTTAGCTGCTTGAGTCTTCTTGATTATACAGTATTTAAAAAAAAAATTGAACTGCAGCCTACTGTAGACCTATTCACGCCATACTGCCCAGCAACATTAGGCATCTTCTGCCCACTCTCTACCTTTGCTATTATACTCTCACCTTTCGAAAAGAAAAACAGACGCAAAACTTAACGAGTGCCTACCCGGCAGTCTCGCGAATACATAAAAGAATTATTTTGTCAGAAAGATAAAAGGCTGGAATTACAAGGGAGAGTTTCAAAGTTCGGAGGAATACTATCCAATCGTTATATACAGGCTTGAGCGTCGATGTTGACGTCTCCCACACTCCGAAAAATTTCGAATTGTTGCCTGAAGAGGAGAGAAGTCCAATCGGTATTCATTATTTTATGTCGCTTCTTCTTCTGTTTGTTCTGTGAAGTGTCCGTTGTCCGAACATAAAAATCTTTCGTGAAAGTGTTCGTTATCCGATTTGTTCGTTAACCGATCACCCACTGTATGTTTTAAAAAAAAAAAAATTAATAATTAATTAAAAAAATAAAAATTAATAAAAATAATTAATTAAGTAAAGTAAAGTAAAGTAAATAAATTAAATAAAGTTTTTTTTTTTAACTATTTAAGTATTTTAACTTCTGAGTATATATGATAAGGTGTTATACATCATATTAATGTATTTAACTATACATGTGATATTTCATTGTAATAAAGATCTATACAAGCTAATTACTGTTTTATAAGGGCTGCACAGAAACATTGAGTGGGGCCACGGGTTGGACATGGTGGAACTAGATGAACAAGTATTACGTGAATATTCTTAATGGGATTAAGTCAGACTGAGTGCATGACAGTCTATGACATTCATTGTGTTCCTCAAGCCAGTTTTTTATTCTTTTGGAGTAAGGGGCATTATCCTGTAGAAAGGATGCAGGAACCTTCATAATTAAATTAATTTTGCTGCTTATGTTTCCCCAGCGTATCAAGTTTCCATTATTGCAGTTTCTATTTTTAACAAATGATATGTATTAAACGATAAATTTGTTATATTTAGAATATAAAACAGTTATTTTTATTGCAGCTTTCTGGCGATGGCAACACAAGTACATTCAGCCGAAGCGTGGCGGCGTGGCTCCGGCCGTTCAGGGAATCGTCGGTATCATGATTCTGTTTTTCTGTCTGAATTATGGAAAACTACGTGAGTATATTTCCTCTGTCTTTTCTGATTTAATATTCTTCGACAAATTTGTTTTAAAAAGTGTACAAACTGCCACTGAAATTTAACCCTTTGTTACCGAAATAATAACTCACAAAGTTTTAGTTGGTGGTAGAAACAACTTTTAGAATAAAAATTAATTTATATTCTCTTAGCTTTAAAAGATTTTGACTAGCTAAGTTTTTAGAATTATTTCAGAAATCAACACACACATTTTTATTAAATTGTAACAAATTCTCCATTTTAGTAACAATAAATTTCAACTTAAATTTAATTTGTGACTGAATTGAATGAGACTACATGCTGCTATTACTGTAGCTCATCCTGTTGCATATATGGTAAAATCTAACAAGTTTTCCCATCTTTTCTTAATTTATTTTTACTTCCCTTGTGTTTGGCTCCAATTTTTCTATTGCTACAACTATTCTTTCATTCTAGTCTCTGCATAGTCCATTTATCTTATATAAATCATATTACCTTAGCATGGATCTTACCAAGGAAAATCCATCATACTGTACCTGGTTAACATAGACTGTATTGTGTAGCAGAACTAGCAATTTATTGAAAAATATGAAATAATAATTGTTTAAAGAAACAAACTGACATTTAAGTAGTTATATTTAATGGAAATGACTTCATTGTAGAATCTGGCAGGTGCACTGTGCACATGAAGATGATACAAACGCATTACAGGAAACAACAAAAAGTCGGCTGATCGTTTTCAGTCCCAATGCCTTTGTGACAAAAAATTACGTCTGCAATGTCACTCCTTTCATTCAAAGGAAAATACCGACCAGGGATTACTTTGGCAAACACAGGTTTATAGTCAGAAGTTGGAATAGAGCAACTTTTATTTGCCTGTTTGAGTTTTTCAATCTTTTGAATCATCCTGAATAATATACACTTTCAGTTATCGTCGATTGTCTCTTGTAGATTAGAGATAAAAATTTATTTAAAAAACTAAGTAGACAATTTAGTCCAGGTGTATTAAGGACTTTTTATGGAGACTAGAAGTTTCCATAAAAGTTTAAAAGGCTACATACACACACAAATAAGATTCAGAGGAGAAAAGTTTCAGTCAGAATAAACCTTTGCATAAGTGACCGAAACCACATTTAGTAGACATTACTTTGGCAAAACTATAATTTATAACATATCAAGTAGCTAATAATAATAATAATTATTGTGTTATTAACATTGCTTTAAATTTTTATAACAACAACAAACTTTTAACAACTATACACTTTTCAAAGCATACAACCAACAACTCATCTTCTAGTGGACCAGTATAGAGTTCACATTAGATATAAACAGGTTAAATTTATGTAATACAATCTGTTTTATTTTGACTTGCACAAAACAGTGAAACTTACAATAAATCTACCTTTCTTTCTCAGTCAGTCTCTACATTTTGCTTTATTTCTTCTTTCCAGACACTGTAATTTCCATTAATTTCTAATGCAATGCACATACATTAAGCACTGGATAACTGTAACTGTAACTTCTTACTCCAACCTGCAGAAGTTTGTTGCTAACCATGCAATAACTTGCAAACTCAACACATCCCAATTTATTTGAGGTTGTTAGAATATTCTAACTGTAAAAGCTTTAGTTACGTAGCATTATCTTTATTTCATGCAAGAGTAAAGAGTTTTCTTCCACTTTAAACTGGACAAGATTGCTTGAAATAATTGATTACGTGGGTCGTTTACGTTCTTGCACTCCAAAGCCAGGGGGGCAACTAGGGTCACAAAATGGAGACTGATATCATACAATACTTCCCCAAAATTTATTTACATTGTTTGGGATCAACAAAACAAAATCTGCATCTACATTTTGTCGTTTGGCAAAGGGTTAAAATTTTGTGGCTTTTTTTAACTTGTATTATTTAAAAATCCATTTTTCTTTCAGGTCAACACAGACTGTATAAATACCACTGGTAAAGTACATTGAATAATTTGTAGCAGAACACTGAGGAGAGAAATGTATTAACCCCGTAGACCTTATTTGTACGAATAAAATTATCAAAATAGTTGGAACACGATGAAAAAGATAAGGCAGTTTATTTGCTTCAATTTTTTTTTTCTGTTTAACAAATACAACTGTCATATTTTTACAGTTACATTATATATATATATAAACTGAGCACAAAATTTTTAATAAAGCAAATCTGAAGACAGTTCGTACAGTTTCATAAAGAAGCATTCGAATGCTCAATACCGGAAACACTATTAACAAGACTATGTAATACGGTCCTAGTACCGTGTCTGGGAATATTCGAGGAAGACGGCTTTAAAGAGCAAAATATAACGTAGCCTGAACCGGAATAGCGATTTTACGACCTTACGCCGTTAAACCAATAGCACGTACAAAATTCCGTTTCGTTTCAACAGTCAACACCAACAGATGACGTAATACAAAACTACACTTTGTCAGCACTAGAAGTATTAAAACAAGTAACAGATTTTTTTTTTGTTGGTAAGACCGTAATTTCCCCCTCGTACAAATGTTTTCGGATAATGATAATGTCTTTCGATTTTGCATAAAAAACTAGGAGTTTCTTTTCTAATTTTGTCACTATCCTCATTTTTAGAATTTGTACTTAACCAATTTTATTTTAAAGAAAAAACACATATATTGCATTTTTTTGGGGAACAAAAGCTAACGTACTGCTCCATATTTATAATACAACACAAAAAGCACAAGCTGCGGCAATTAAAACTGCTAGTTTTAAAGGCTAGATATTTATATATATATATATATTTTTATTAAATTATTTGAAACAACAATTTTTTTTAGTCAACTATTAAAATAGATCAACTTAAAGTGTTAATGATTTCAATGATACATTGTTCCCTCAGCCTTTACATTGCAGTGTGTATCTGGCTTTGTGCGGTAATAAAGAATGCGACATTTAACAATCTGAACACTATCGGCTCTAAGTTATGGATTGAAATATGTATTTGTTACAAAAAGCTTCCGTAAACGTTAGATCGAATATTGTTTTTGTTTCTTTGTTTTACTTATTGCCCTATTCCTCGCTGCTCGTCCGTGCTAGGTGAAAAAAAGTGTACGAAACGAATGCTTCTGTATTTCCGATATCGATAGAATGATCGTTCTGAGTAAACCGGCTCTACGGTAGGACAATGGGTCGGTCGGCTGTGCGACTGTTTTGGGATGTTTCGTACGCACAGCGGCCCGTCGTTAGAATAATGTACAGCGGCGATTTCCCCTCTTCACTTTCGGTTGGGGACACAGAACGGCACGAATGGCTTCGTCGAAAACGTTCTTCAATCCCTTCTGCGTGAGAGCAGAACACTCCAGATATTTAACGGCACCGATTTCTTTGGCCATAGCCAAACCCTGGGGATAGGTGATTGGGGCTAACTTTCTTTCTTTCAGTTTCTCAATCGTCTCCTTGTCTTCCCTCAGATCCAGTTTTGTTCCAACCAAGATTATGGGTGTGTTTGGACAATGATGGCTCACTTCTGGATACCACTGAAAAAGAAAAGGTTTGGTTGATCACATGTACTCTATTGAAAAAATATATATAAAAATTTTTGCACTTACCTTTGCCCTTACATTCTCAAAAGATGCTGGGTTCACTAAGGAAAAACAAATTAGGAACACATCCTGTAATAGAAAATTTTTAATTAAATTCATAAAGAAATTACACAAGCAATTATCAAAGAATAAATTTTAGAAATGTTGGTACTTGTGAATCTTTGTCCCAGATGGTGGTGCCCCCATGCCGACCAACAACTCAACTAGTACCTGTATCCCCTCAGAACAAATTAATCTAGGTCGCTGGTCGAATCAAACAGACGTGTTATCAACTCAGTCTGTTTTGTTATTTCAGCACAGTTAAGATTGCTGCAAAGTTTTAATTAAGAAGTTACTGTAAAATAAATGATAATTTAATTGTTTGCTATCATTATTACCTGTTTACCATTTACTTTTGACATATAGTTTGTGGCTGCCATATTTCTACAATTGCTTTTAATATACTTTCAAAAGCATTTTCTCGTCCCAAGAATTTCTTCCACATGGACTCCAGATGGTAAGCTGTGCCTCATTTTTTATTGTGCCACTTAGAGCCCCAGTCTTTCGATATTTTGTGTGAGAGCACCTGTTGTTGAAGGATATATTGTCAATCCTTCTTCAATGTGCTCCCTGATTTTTGTAATGAGTGTGGTTAATTCTCTATTCAGAACTGGAACAAGAAAGCAATCGCCAGTTTCTCGGCATATTTCACCGAATATCCACAGTTATGGAAGAACCCTTCCAGTGTTGCCTTTTCACCTTGTGAAAAGCATTTCGCCAATTTCCGCGATTTTTCTGGGACCGCCCATTCGCCTGTTAGGTTGTCTCAATAAATGTAGACAATATACCTCCCTCATAAAACTGTTCCAGTCTATAGATGTTTTATTGCAGATGTTTATATGCTTTCGACACCGCTTAGTTCCTCCATCCAATAATAAATAAATCGAACAGTATTTAAAAATGGTATCCTCGAACCACTAAACCAATTATTAGAATGGATGCTTATCATCAGGTTGCAGCTACTAACAGTGCATCTCCAAATTCCTTTAGATCTATTCAACTTCATTTCATGACCATTTTCGCATATTTGAACACTAGTTAAAATACCTCTCTCTTGAAAAAAGAATATAGATTCTCCCTCCGTGATTGGTAAAATTGTATAACATTGTTTCGTTATTTTCAAACCCTTGTCTGAAAGAACAATGTCTGACTGGGTCGATAATAAATGTCTGTTTAATGTAGGTTAATCAGCTCAGTCATTTTGTTTCGAGGGGATACAGGTACTAGTTGAGATGTTGGTCACCAGGGTGGCACCACCATCCAGGACAAAGATTCACAAGTACCAAAATTTTATTCTTGTCATCAATGTTAAAAAATCATACACACACACAAAATGAAATTTGAACAGTCTCTCTTCCATTTCAAATATTCTACATTAATTTGCTAGGATTCCAACAACTAGAGAAATGATTGTTTCTATGGAAGCAATTTGGCTCTAATATTACTGCATGATTGTAATATACAGCTCTTCAAGCATTCTTAATGTAAATTTTATTTCTTATAACAGATCTAAAGTGGAACTACCAAACAGTTGCGAACACAATACAAATTCATTGTTAGGCTTAATGAAGTGACAATGTTATCAAAAACTGATATTCCTATTTTGTATAAAATGTGTTTAAACTAGATTAGCATAATTTAAGTTTAAAGCAGTGGTGTGCAAACCATGTGTCACAACCTCTCTGAGGGGGGATCAAAAGAAAATTTTTCAGGGTCACCAAATTCAAAGAAATTCAAATTTAAAAGTATTTTTCATTAAATAAATGTTTATACCCCATGCAAAATTAAAACCATTGTTTCATAGAATTGTATGTTTTATTCAGACTTCTAATAAGGCAGAAACATAAGTGCAAATCCCAGAAAGAATTTCACTTTACTGTAACTATATTCACGATTAAAAACACATCTACTGTCTATCCAGGGGTCACGACAAAATTTTACACAAAAAAGGGGGTCAGAAATGAAAATAGTTTGTGCACCACTGGTTTAAAGGACAAAAATATAAGAATTTTCTGCACATTATTTACTTTTTCTAGAACCTGTATATTTACGAGCCATAGAAATGGGGAGTAACAACTGATGATAAAGTGCAAGAAGTTTACAATAAACAGAACTGTTTTTCATCTCTAAAGAGTGGATAACACATGGTAATAATAATCATTGTTTGTAACTATCATCCCACTCCCAGATAAAAACTTGATGGAAGTTGACAGTTTTCATAAAAAATGTGCACTCTTCCCATGAAAAAGCAATTTCTGGTAATATATTGGGACATACCACGAGATCAATTAATCTCATTTCAGCTATAAATAAATGAATACTTTGGCAAGAACAACACTGAATCATGCACTGGAGTTAAGCATCAGTTTTTTACTCATAATAAAAATTTAAAAGACCAAGTTGAGGGTTTAGTTATTTCTTTTTCTTTTGAAGATACATAAGCTTTGGATATTATCTTCAGAATTTACATCAAATAATTTAATTCCTTTCCATAGATAAGTCATTAAATAATTATCAAAACAAACCAAAAATAATTGCACAAACTGACTGTTAAGGTTTCAAAACTTAGTGAAATGAAGACCAATTTAGTTTTGTCATATTATAGAAAGTATTTTTAGAAAAAAAAAACTTATTATAGACTTGTGTTGCCCTTCCATTATCTCAGTCACATGCCTTTTGTGTTTTAAATTTAAGTTCAAGCATAGTCTGTGGATAAAAATTTGGCTCAGATATTGGCTATATAGTAACAGTTCATGTTTAGAAGTTCAGAAAGTATAATCGAGCAATCAAAAGTTACTTGCAAGAAGTTAAACAGTGCTATGAGTCAAATTTGGTGACCCCATCCATTTCTAGCTTTGCATTTTTATTGTTCTGCTACATGTCACAAAAGGAACTCTCTCAAAATGTTCATGATTTGAACCTACATTCAAAACTTCAAGTAAACAAGAGTCGACCACAAACTTTTTATTTACTTTACAGAATCAAAATTTGATTCCTTTCATAGCCTTGGATTATCCCGCGAGTCTTGTTTATAATCTTGATCCAAAAGCCTCCGTGGTACAGGTAAACCCCGTATAACACGGTAGTTACGTTCCAAAAAATTGTCGTGTTATGCGAATCAAAGAACTAGTACGAAAAGGAGGGTTGGGTTCCAAAAATTAAAAAACATGCTACTATATTTTCATAATTAAGTTAAGAAAATTTTAATAAAGATATTTAAGTGATACATATTAATATAAATTAAACAATGTTTTCTTTGTCATCACTAAAAGCACTATTAACCGAGAGCATTTTATTTTTGGCAAGTTATCGTTATCCTCTGAGCATTTTTCTGCATTATTTTCAGATTCATGCTTTACCTTTTGCAAAAAATGTATGTAATTTTAGATTGCTTGCTTCTAGTTAAAAGATCTTTATAAATTTCCTTATATGATGGTGCTAAGGAAAAACATCTGGCAACACCAGAAGCAGAAGTGTCGAGATATGGCAAAATTGAAACAATTTTCACGAAGGACCATGTGTATGGAGACGAGAAAAGAAAATTTACTCACTGAAGTACTAACAGTTCACGAAAATTATTATTTTTGTGAACTATTAGTACTTAAGTGTGTAAAAATTTATTACATTTCATGTTGTACGCGGGTTTTACCCATTTCTCGAACCGTGTCAGAGTAAATCTGTGCTATAAAAGTACCGTTATACGGGGGATGGTACCAATTCTCGAACCGTGTTAGAGTGAATCCATGCTATAGAAGTGCTGTGTTATACGGGGGTTACCTGTACTTGCTTATAAGCAAACCAAAATGTCATTCCTCGGATAACTTGTAATTTATGACTTATTTTTTTTATGCACGAAACCTGTGGACTGTCACTTATTAAAAACTGTAAACTAAGCCTTTATAGGCACAGACAATTTGGAATATTTTCAGACTCAAAATTTGACATTCAACAATTTTTCTTCTTTATATAATGAGCCAAGAATTTTTGTAGTGAAAGTTGTTGTTATTTAAGTGTCGTGTTAACTAGAAATGTCATACACTACACAGACTAATTCCACACTCTGAAGTAAGCAATACACAAAATGTCAGCCAAGTCTGACTCACAATGTAGTCAAACTTCCCACTTTGTTTGCTTATCAGCATTTATTTGAAAGAAATAAAGTTTATGAAATTAAAAAACTACAGAAAAATCTTTAAAGAAAATGTCATTTTATTAATGCATTCAATAGAAAAGAGACTGATGAAATGTTTATAATTTTTCAAAACATAATAAATGAAATGGTATGTTTTCAAATTAGCTGTAGTTATTTTTTTTATGTATAAGACTGCTGCCATGACATTGCATTGTTAATTTTTGTTTAAACTAAGTTCCGCTACGACAGTCAACTTTCCAAAGCACGAACATTTTGTGCAGAGGAAATATAGCTGCACCGACCAAAATTCCCTAGTATACAGAACAATAGTTAAGTAGGTCAGCGGGACCTATAAGTCTTGCCAATTTCTTATCATAACTACAGCGGAGGAAAAAAGATTTAATCAATAAAATTAGAATGAATAAAAATTTTGGCTAGTTTAACTGTCCACGTTTCTTGGAATCTAAAATTGACAATCTAAATTATATTCACGTTCAAAGTTTTTCACGGTAAGAATATAATGTTTGGCATTTATAATACTTCCGCTGGCAACCAGAAGACTGGTTTTGAAATTACGTTTTATTTGAGAAATTCTTTGGTAGTTACAAAAATGTTACAAGTTGGGATGAATTAAAAATTAGATAAAACAGAATAAAGTCAAAAATAATTAACACTTACTGTCTGTGGATAAGAGAGGGGTCTTAATCTATCGTAATCTTCCTGTCCGGCCGTATCCCACAGTCCTAGATTTATGGGTTTACCGTCGACCATTACATTGGCAGAATAGTTGTCGAATCTGAAAATTTAATTGAATATCAAAAAAATGTATACTTATATTGATATATAATAAAACAAGCAATATATCATTTAATTAACAAAAAAATTCTACAGGGTGTAACTAGAATTAATATTGAATAGTAACTATGATAAAAACTTTATTTGAAACATGTTATAATAAATTATATTTTTTTAAAGTGGCCAAAAGCAATCAATCATTCCAAAAACCATTTTTGATATCAAAAAATTAAAATAAATTTGGTACAATTACTATTTTATTTTGTAGTGCAGGTACAACCATTAATAAAGATTGCTTCTTATGTTTAATCTTTCTTTGTTCAAAACTGCCCAAAGAGTAAAATGCATTTCTGCCAATGAAAGAAATTATTAAAATTAATCTTTAAAAATAAAATTTGTAAACTTTTTTCATACAAGTAAGTCCTTTTTGTTAGTATATGAGGTGCAATAAAAAGAAACTAGATTTGCTCTATAAAGATTTCAATATATTATGGCAGCATATTTAAATTGTTCTCTCAAAAGTAGTTTCTCCCTGCACTTATGTTCACCACTTCTGCCAAACCTTAAACACTCCTTGGAAATAATTTCAAAAAATCCAAAGCATCTGTTGCGACTTGGACCACATTGCCTCGACCCTATTGAATACCTTGTAGTCTCAAGCTTCAGTTTCGGTTTAGGGAACAAAACAGTCACAAGGGACTAAGTCTGGCAAGAAGGAGGGAGAAGACTGCCTTGTTTTTCATCAAAAATGCTTGCATTTTGAAGGCTGCATGTGCAAAAGCATTGTTATGATGATGATAGCAAATTCAGCTGTGTTTACAGTTCTAATCTCTTATGATGAACATTCTAATGCAGTTGCCTCAAAATGACATAATAAAAGCCCAAATTCCCAAATTTGCTGTCTGACTGGGCAGAACAAACTTCTGGTGTACAATCTCCTTATGATTGAAAACATTATCAATACGCTCTTTACTTGCCTTCTTGGATCTCTGAACCAAATTTGGTGAAAAGCAGCTAAACCTGGCATCATATGCACTCCTCAATATGCAAACTAGCATGTTTTCGCATAGGACTGCAATCACCTAGGGGTTAATTTAAAGTGTAAGAATACCCACCCCTTTATTTTCTGAGTACGGTAGAATGGTCTGCTAAAACCAGATGTTTGAATTGCTCTACAATCAGAGGTCAAACACGTCTTTGCTTACTAGGAGAAAAAAGTCTATTCTACTCAAAATGGTATCACTATTGGAAATAAGGCTATTTCTCAGAGGTTGTAAAGATAATTTACAGTTTGGTTTAATGAATTCTGGTAAAATTTTTGTTCACTTTATTGTGTGAAAATTAACATTGTGACAATGACATTTTGTCAGGTCAGCAGCAAAATTTGATTTAATGAGAGAATTCTCTATCAGTGGTGGTTTTAAGGCAAGCTGACTGTAATTTAAATGCTTGGTTAATAGGTTTACTGTGCATAAACAAACAATATCGCTAAAACCGATATACTATAAAGCTAGACACCAACCAATGCCGAATTCTATCAGGCTAGACACGGCTATATACCATGTCTAGCCAGATAGAATTTGGCATTGGTTTGTGTCTAGATTTGCTTTTGTTTTAACAAAAAACCACAGTAATTAGTTTTTGGACACATTTTTATTTGGAAAAATTAATGGCAAGAATCTCCAAGATTTTGGACTAGTATTTCAAATGTTTTAATAAACCAAGTCTAAAGAACAACAAATCTTACATTCCTGATATCATATTATCAGAACAAAAAAATTAGTTTTAAAATGTTTAGATCATCATTGTATAGATAAATATCACAAAGCTAATAATTTCATTAATATCAATCAGGAAATTTGACTGTTTTCCTCTATCGACAAGGAACTTTTGGTCTATTTTATTAAAACAAAATTATGAGTTAAGAGTAAAAGTTTTTCAACAACTTATTTTTTTTAGTTTTTTGACAAGACTATGTCTTGTTTATAAAATCGTACTGCCTGCTATGTACCAGCTTAGAGGTATGAAGGAGTACATGTCAGGAGTTGCAATTCGGCAGAGTATTAGGTGCCCAAATCATGTGCACGTAAAACAAACCAGACTTTTAGGTACTGAGGGGACCGAGAACCAAGTCAAAATAAAATACAAAATGGCAACTCTCTCTACAAACAGGCAAACCAAAGTCAGGTGGTGAGAGTACCACCCACAGTCTCTAGGAAGTGGACTCTGACCCTAGGACTGAACACGTAGTATTTTCTTTGTTAAATAAAATTTGTAATCTAATTTTGTAAATTTGGAAGTGCTTCAAATATGACATTAAAACAGGGTTTTATGTCGTTACAAGGCGGTTTTTTTTAACATTATCTAGTATAGTAAAATTGTGGGACCAATAAAAATTTGACGTTATATTAGGGTTGTCGTTACATCCGATGACGTTATAATTGGGTTGAACTGCATAATGTCTGTGCAAAATAAAAAAAATAATTTCGGACGATACAATAGCCATGATTATTTTTTTCAAAAATGGGAAATTTTCGTTATGCATCGACAAAAATTCAACCTGGGCTGACACGCAATGGAGAGACATTTTAAAATTGGATAGGTTAATTTCATCAAAAATGCATCATGGATGTGGACGTGGACGTGGTTGTGGTCGTGGCTGGCAAAGTTTGAATGATTGTGCCCAAAAGCAGCAATACCAAAGAAGGTTGGAGAATGAGAATGAGAAGTGCCTCGAGCGTCAAAGTAATTCCACTTAGTAGTGAGTCTCCGAGACAGTCTTGTCCCAAATATAGTTTTGCCATTTTACTTGTTGATTCTACTATGGCCATTTGAAATAGAAAAACTTAACTTTCAAAGTTATCATCATCTGATATTCACAAAATTCAATTTCTGTGGAAACTTTTTCAAAATTGTAATGTATTTTTTTTTCGTTTTTTAACTTAAAAATAATATTTTTTTGTTTCTTGACACAAAGTTGGATCATGATACTGTTGAGAAACTTTTTTCGTATTAGAAAATTTTTTTATCATATATTGTACTTGCGAAACTCATGACAATGTAAACAAAAATAGTTTTAAAAAAATGTAATATTAGTATTCTAGCATTTTGAGTAAACAGTGCTCATCTTTAAGAACACTTAATAAGAATATCATTGTTGTGACAAAAATGTCCCACAAAATCTGGTAGTATAGGTGTTATAAAATGGAATTTTATTTCAATTTAACAAAATAAAAGCTTCCAAATGACAGACAGTAAATGTAAGTATATAAAATTACTATGACATCAGCAAAACAATGAAAAAGTACTAGGAAAAACATATGCTTACTATGATAAACATATGGGGATAGAAGAGCCTCTGTGTCATATTTTGTTAGTGTAGGCACAACAAATAGGGTTAATGTCCTTCACAGTAATATTGGTTTCAAATTAAATATATTTTTGGAGTGTTTCATCCATTAATGTATTTTGTTTCTTTCACTTTAATTATTACACTAATTTCTTCAAAATTTTTAATAATATCAAAGCTTAAATTAAAAAAAATGTTGGAAGAAAAATGACAGATGCAAATTAATTGTTTAAAGTTATTCATAGAGTGACTAAATTATAAAATTTCATTTGTAAAGTTTCATAAATGTAAAAACTTTATTATCCTAACAAAGCTTTTCAAAAATAATTTCATTGATTTTTCATTATTCAAAAGCTGCAAATATATAATTTTTATTACTATTAAGCTTAGATCACACTGAGCACGATTTGCTAGTAAAAGTGAAAAACAGAGCGAATAACCCATCAAACAAGTCATGTTTGATGGGTTATTCACTCTGTTTTACGCTTTTGCTAGCAAATCGCACTCAGTGTGAACTAAGCTTTAAGCAAATAATAACTTTTTAAATTACTTGAAAAAATAAGAAAATAATACTTACACTGTTGGAATATATTCACCCGGAAAGGCATTTGTAGTGTAACTTATTAGCAAGCAGGTTTTACCCACCGCACTGTAAAATGGTAGAAATAAAATCAATTTTAGTTTTCCCAAATTAAACATATTCATCACATATATATAATTAATTTTTTAATTCAAAAATCAATTAAAAAATGAAAATATATTAATTATATAAATATTATCAGGGGTGTTCAACTTTTTCTCAGAAGGGCATTGTGAACATCCATTAATCTGATTTTTGATTAAGGCCAAACAATCTGCCAGATTATATTGGGTTATAATATGGCTACTATTTAGTACAGTAGTCATATTATATCCTAGCCCAACAAAATACATCAGATCATTTGACCTTGTTAGCCATAAAAGACCATTCTGGTGGCCAAGTACAAAAGGTATAGTCAAAGATTTTTTTTTATTTCTGAATAACAACAAAACATAAATTTATGCAAAATTTGCAACTGCTTTTTCAAAAAAAAGTCATTGATAAAATGTTTAATGTTTCATTTATTTATTTCATTTTTGAAAAGATTTGCTCGCAAAGGTATGTAGAAGCAAGTATACACAATATCACCGAAGCAAACTTCTTAAAACATTAAAGAAGAGAATTTAAAAATAAGTGTCTCTATTTAAAAAAAATCATTTCTAGCAAGGTCTATTAATTCTAGTTGACTTTTCAAAAGTTTATACTTCAACCTAGTTCAAATGTCAATGATAAAATGTACCAGCATAAACAAATTAAGCACAGAGATTAACTAACATTAGTCAACCCGTGGCCATGCGGACCGGATAAATATACTTCGGAAGCCGAACGTCGGAGACCCATTATATAACAGTTAATACGAATGAAGTTGATGTTAATTTATTTATTTGAAATAAAATCAATTTAATAAAACAAAAATAGTTTTATAATTTTGGTCATAAATTCTAAAGGATTAAATGTGTATTAGCTGCAGGATGTATAGCTGTAAATATTCCTAAAAAAGAATTAGAATTCTAATGTTTTAGGGGAAAAAAAATTTAATCAGTTTTAAATTTTTAATACATATTTTAAATTTAAAACAATTATGCACAACATTTACATATTTCTATTTAAATTTGCAGTTATAGTATCCAAATAGCAGTGCCAAAATTCTTAACTACTGTACTTGAATTTGCTTTTTACAAAAAAAAAAGAAAAAAACCACCTTTACTTTCATATATATATGCTTTTTATTCGATAAATACACATTTTAATACGGCCAATACACAAAGAAATTTTTAAAAATTAAATTTTGAGGTAACCGTAAGGAATTCTTACCGACAGATTTTACTTTACACGACCGTTCATTTTGTGCAACAACAAATTATCACCAATAAAATTAAATTCGGCATAAAAATAAACAATAATTATCTACGTAACATAAATTAAATCGACCTTAAGACAAAATAAAAACATTCGGAGACATAAATATAAATTCCAGTTAAGAAAATCCTTTCAAAATATCCCACAGTTCAACCACTGATTAGTGATGTAATTTATGTAAGTCGCTAAAAACAATCCCGGAGATAATTCACCGTCACAGAATGCAACAATACTTATTAACGTCACGACAAGAATGTCAATCTCGTTAGAAAGGGATAAACAAACATCGTTGCGATGTAATACGGTTAACAACCACGTTAAAAGGATCCACAACGAGTTAATTACTGGCTAAGTAATCTTTGTCGACAACCATTTTTGGCGATCGGCAAGTCTAAACGATCGGCTTAATCCATCGACCAGAGCAGTTATCGAACGGGTTAATTGTTTATCCGCTAATTTTCCCTCGTATCTCGTCAATCCCTCTCGTAAAATTCTCCCCGTATTATACGAATGACTAAAAATAAACTGCTCAGTGACAATTTCGAGCGTTACTACACCCTTTCATTAGAAGTAACTCGGTTATGCACTTCCGCTGTCCGTTTGCCAAATGACTTCCGTTACGAAACGATTTTCGTAATCCCGAAACAAAGTCGAAACACCCCCTAACCCGACAACGATTCTTCAAAAACCGAGCACGGTTCCAGATTCGATTTCGCACTTGAACTTAAAACAACAACAACAAATTAAAAAACACACAGACAATCGGGGGAAGATATTTATGGAACGTTCCGAATAACATTCGCCGTATTTTTTTTCCTTCTAGACATAAAAACGTGGCAAGTTACGCCGGTAACGTTCGCGAACATTCAAGGTCGCGAACGGTTTTAAAAATTACGAAGCGTTAAAATGCCTTTAGAAAACGCGAAGGTTAAAGAATAATTTAATCGAGCGAAGAATTCCGTTTACGAAACGAGGGTCAAAGTACAAAAAAAAGGGTCAAAGTACAAAAATGGAGATGCTTAAATGCTAATTTCGGGGTTACGAAAGAGCTTCTATCGAACGTAATCAGTTTAACCTGGAAACTCGATTCCGTTTATTTTAATAAATTACGGGCAGCTCTAATCCCCAATATGGCGATTTATAAATATTAATAAAGATAATAATTCTCGATAATACGCACACCTTCTATCCCCGCTTATAATGAACTTAGATCGCGGGGGGCAGCATGACGATAAAAATCGTTTCGACAGAAAAGTCGGTGGTGCCCTTAACCAATGTTCTAAAAATCGAAAGCCAAAGAAAACGCCAACGATGCCGCCATTTTTTACGGTCCCATAAAAAAGACCCGTAAAGTTAGTAGGAGATTCGTTTTATTATCGTAAATTCTGTTAAACTGGACAATCTCGGATGGAATCTCTCTCGACCCAGTTATCGCTTTTGGCCATCATCGATCTGAGTGACACCTTAAATGCTCACTTAAATCAATATTGGACGGATTCCAAAATCCATCTTCCCTCTCTCTGCCAGCAACTTAAAAATTCTCCTCCACGCTACGCTATACTTTAAATGGGCGTGAGATTTCGGTCGCAAACGACCGTGTGTCTGCATTTATTTACGAAACCGCCCCGAATCCCGACGAAATAAACAAGGAAAAAATAAGTAAAATGTAAATCAAATTGGCACGCAACCCTTTCAAAATAAAATGCTACTAAAATAACATTTTGCTAAACTGGGTGTTAGTATTGGTTACGTAGCAGATGTTGCTTTAAGCAAACATTTTACATGCATGGTTCCTTATCGCTTCTGTGGCACTCGATTATAGTAGCAACGGAGAGCAGATGCGACGTACGAACTTCATTTCTTTTTCATTCGTCGTATGTTTCCTTAAAAAGCTATTTTTATATAAAAAATGCTGACTTCCTTGCAAACCCTTTTTAAACGCACTTAGAAATAAACTTATAATTTTATTTTCTCTTCTATAGAAACGTTGGCAATCAGGTTTTCTGAAAATAAAGTGGTAAGTAATTGTACTGTACATAGGAATTTTCAGGGTTGAGTTGTGCAAAAAAACAAATTTCAACATCAGATGAGTGCAGTATGTAATATTCCATTTGCTAATTGAATAATAAAAAAACCAAAAAAAAAAGACTTGCAAACAATAACTATCTATCTACTAATAGGCCCTGTATAAATGATTAATAGTTAATTAAATATTCAGGATTTGATGGCTTATGTTTGCTAATAAGAAGCTGGATGCTTCTTATTAAATAAATTCAAAACAATTTTTTTATGTAAGATACTTTTATGCTAAAATGAATTTTTTACCAAAAGAATAAGAAAATGCTTTCTTTAAAAACCTGAAACTTATAACATCAAAGGCTTTAAGATAAAAGTATCTCTTGCTGCTATTACTTTCAATAGCTGTGAGAGATACTTTTATTCTCTTTCACAAACTGAAGTAACAAATAATAATGTAAAATTATACTCTGTAAATGGGCCAAACCTTGAAGTTAAATCATCTATAAAAGATCAGATTCTGTTTATAATTTGTGTAATTACAAAGTAATTGAACACAAAGAACTTTTTTAGTTTATATCCAAAAGGTAGAGAAGTGTGGAAGTATTTATAGCTTACTATTCCTTCCTTCCAGTTTCTAATTTATTAACAGATTAAAAATACATACATTCTAATAACGTCTGATTAAATATTAAAAAAAATTTTAATTAGCAAATTAAATTTTTTAAAACTGAATTTCAGTTTGTTGTATTCTACATTACAGAAATTAAATTATATACTGTTTTGGCAAAAATAAAAAATATCAGTCAAAAAAAATATTGCAAAATATTAATTTGGGTAATAAATTCAAAATAAAATATTGCAGAAAACTATGCAATTTTAAAAATATTAATAAATATTTCTGATTAATCAAACTGTTTAATGAGTCAATATTAATTAAAATTATATTTAATTTGTTATTCATGAAAACATTTGAACAACTTATAAGCAATCCGTTACTTGCAAATGTCGAAAACTGTGCAAAACATCTTGTCTTTACAGAAAAATATTTTAAAAAAGTAAATGGTACTTGTCAGTATTTCATTTACATTTTATGTTTACATACTTAATAATAAAAGCAAATTTACCTACAATTTCAATAAATAAAAAAGAAATGTATTTATCCAAAAGTCAGATAAACCAAGATAAAAAAATAAATTTTAACAATTATTTTTAGATTTTGATAATAAAATTATTTTAAATGTTTCAATCATCATCAAAATAATAATTATTTCAATGATGATTAGAGTTTGTCTAAAAAAAAAAACAAAGTAAAAAAGTATTTCTCTGATAAAATAACATTAAAACTTAGTCATTTGTATTATTGAATAAAAATTCAATTTTCTCCTATTTCTAAAAATAAAATTTTCAACCTCATCAAGATATAATCACTGTCTTTGCTAGTACCATTACCATATTGAAAATTCATTCAGTTTAGCAGATTTTGTATTGATATTCGGAAGACAAAGTCTGCTATAAAATTCTTTAGTTATTTTTCTGTTTTTAATTTTACTTACATATTTAAAAATATGTATGTATATTTTAATGCCGTGACAGATTTTACATATAAGCAAGTAGTCTAGAAAGTATAGCTATATCAAGTTAAATTAATTGTCTATTGTTTATATAATGCATGTTTCATTAAAATTCAACTA